GCAAGAGCTGCAAGATGAACAAACCAAGACGCGTAACTGGGATTGATGCCTCCAAAGACTTGCGAGGAGATCCCTGGGAAAGACTATGTATTGACCTGATCGGTCCTACAACGTCGGGGATCCTAAGAAAAAGAATTCTCCACACTTCATTGCTTGACAATGATTGATCCCGTAACGGATGGTTCAGATTGCAGAAGATCTGCTCCAAGGCAGCAGAAGTAGCCATCGTCCTAGAACAAACGTGGCTTACTCGGATCCATGGCGGCTGAGGTTATCATGGAATAGAGACGTGAGTTCCGCGCAGAGGTCGAAAAGACTCTCCGGGATGAATTGGACTTCGTCGCAAGTTCATCACCACGCGCAACCCTCAAGCAACTCCATGGTCGAGCGTGCTCATCAGACCATACGCAACTGATCGCTGTTCAAAACATCAAGTGCAAGACGACCTCGTGACGGATCCTGGGATGGAGTCCTACGGGGGTTCGCTTCGCAATGAACGCACGATTCATACCACCTGCGTGCAACGCCTGCACACTCGTGTTCAACGTGACGCATTCACAATGTCCGTTTCGAAGCAAACTGAAAGTACATCAAGGAACGTCGCCAACGACTCATCCAACGAACAACGATAGGGAAACGCACGCGTGTCCCTCATCAATACAATGTCACGATACGTGATGATTCACAGTATCAGCACCGCAAGTACGGTCAGCCAAATACAAAGGTCCTTACACTATAGACCGAGTCAATGACATGGCACTGTACGGCTCCAACATGCTACCGCCAATGGCGGCACAGTCTACCAGACTTGGAACATAAGGTATTACACCCATACAAGGCCTGATCCCTTGTAGGATTGCCATCGTGCGACGCACATGTCTACATCCAATCTCATGAGAGTGCCCCGCACTTTAAACATATGTTCTCTTGTTTCCGACTGATGTCGTGCCTTCTGTGACCCTTGTCAGGGGCGAATGCAATACACGGCTCTTAGCCTTATTCCGCCCGACTCGATCCTGATAGGGTTTGAGTTCGACTATGACTGAGTCTCTCGTGAATAGTCATTGAGACAGGGTTCTCATGACCGCTAGTCATACTAGGTCGATGGTGAAACATCGCGCTAGATATTTAGCTGGCGTGGAGAGATTCCACGCTACTAGATAAATGCTAGACGAATCTTCCACGCGTTCCGTTTTTGGATCGTGGAACGAGTAGGATTACTACCACAACCTACTCTATCACACTTTACAGTCTCCCGCGGGAGTTCACATCTACGATCCCTTGATTGTGATCTCTCTTGTTGATTAGTTTTCATAGCTTTCTAATCCTCTCATAACTTTCATTCTCTCAAACTCAAAACACTCGAAAGATCTTTACACTAGCTTTTAGCGTAGTGCACTTGGGTTCCATTCATTGATCCGAAAGAGGAGAAATCACCAAAGGACGAGGCCGAGTATCAGCTTTTTGAAAGCCTACGAAAGAACTACAATCGGCACACTGCCTCTCTTGGAGCAGCGAAAGGATACAAGAAGTTTGCGGAAACTGGGGACATTGCTTCATGTATCGGAGCGATTCAAGGCAAGGCTAGAGGCAATCGACAACGGATAAGAACCACCACCATTGATTCATCGCAAGACACCAACACAGTTAATCCAGCACTACAACCGCCTTATGGAGCACTTGAAAGAGCGGCCATGGCACGTCCCAATGATACAAGTCGCCAAGAGCTTGATGAGACTCTTCGCCAGAGCAGAAAGAATATGCCACCACACCAAGCTGCCGTCAATGCTACTCAAGTGACATACGACAACACAATAGGCCGAATCCCTTTCGGTGCTCCAATTACTCTAAATACAGAGATCGCCGCCAACGCTGTTAACTACAGCACTCCCAACAACCGCAACACACCTTATGTCTTGCGTCCTGTCACCGACCAGCAGCGTCCTCGTGTCTCTTTGGGTACATTCAAGCACAACAAGTACTGTGTCAAATACGGCTTTACACGCAGAATGCATCAACAGCTAGGAACGTCCTTCGGAAACCTTTGTTCCGACAACTGTGGAAGGGAGGAAAGATCCAAGTGCCACGAACGATTGGAATTCCACTCTACTCCAATAGTGATTGGGCATTATTGCATCAAGATTGCTCACAGCAACAGCTTCACCAACGACTGGTACACCAACAATTAACAGTTCACCTATCAAGCATTTACAACTTAGGAAACAAGAAAAGCGCTGGATGTGTGCACACGCACACTGTTGTCCACGAAACGCATCGTCTTAGTAGCGAAAACAAAGTAATCAGTAGTAGACAAAAAAATGTCATCAAAGAAAACAGCCCAACGCGAGATAAGACGGTGACGTGTAGTATAGGAATGACCAGCCAATTTCGTCTTCACCAACAAGAGCAAGCAGTCGTAGAGCAACTCATAATCGGTTGGTCCACCCATTCCACTCGGATAGAGCATTTGCGAGAATGTCGCGAGCACAAGGTTGTGCCAGCGAGGGGAAATCGTACGTCCCCACCAATCCATACAATCCATCACTTTGCAGAACTTTGGTGGCAGGGGCAGAGCTGTTCCATTCAGGAAGAGCCCTTGGACAGTGTTGTTGTCGTAGCAAGATGAGGGCACAGCAGGTGTATTTGAATTGATTATGGGACGGGCAATGACTCCAATGACTCCTAAGAAGGATCCACTCAGTTCGGTAGGAAAAGCGCGTACACTTAACTTCACTGTAAGGGAACGTACCCTTCTTGTCAGCGATGAAGCTCTGGATTGCTTCCTGTGAGTAAAACATGTTTGTATTGCTTGCTTTTCTTCTGTTCGACAGCGATTTTGTGAGTGTTTGCACCTCATTCCAAATTTGGGGTAGTTACGAACCTCCACCGTAGACTTCCTACTATGATTTATTAGCCAATCACATTGATTCCCTAGCCGGCGTACTTGGAGAAAACTTGACACTGTGCTGCAAACAGTAGTGGCACTGCCGGCTCTTATTCTCTGCACCAATTTCGTGACTAGATTTACTGTGCCGTAAGGCCGGTCTCTACCGGAGCGACTAAAGTAGCGACTAAGCCATATTTTGTAGTTTAGTCCATAGTTTAGTCTCTTGGGGTGGTGTCTACCCAAGCAACTAAATGTCATACGGACTAAAGCCTTTAGTCAAAGAGTTGGTTCACCGACTAAAGTGAGGCTGGTTAGTCAGTGAGCGAGTGTAACGACTAAAGCCTGTTTAAGAACTCTTTAAGAACAGTATCAGCCTCATTGCACAGCCTCACTATCAGAACATCGCGACAGAGCTGATAGAGCAGAGGTGCAAACGATCGAACAATTGAATGATAGTAGAGGTGCAAACGATCGAACGATTGAATGATAGTAGAGGTGCAAACGATTGAACGATTGAATGATAGTAGAGGTGCAAACGATCCAACGATTGAATGATAGTAGAGGTGCAAACGATCGAATGAATGATAGTACGTAGAGGTGCAAACGATCGAACGATTGAATAATAGTAGAGGTGCAAACGACAATCGAACGATGGAATGACAGAGGAGAGGTGCATCGCAATGGAGTGTTTTGAGTCTTGTTATCTCAAAAAAGTAATCACGTTTGTTAAATCTTTTTGGAGTCCTTTAAGTCCAGTAGTGAGTAGTGTTCCGTTTATTATATTTATTTGTTTAGTGCTGGGTGCTGGGTAGACAGGTCCAACTGACTAAAGAACTGACTAAATTGTTTAGTCCGAGATTTAGTCATCTGCTGGTAGACACCACCATTACTAAAGGATAATGACTAAATCTTGAACTAAACAACCACCTAAAGGATTCCTTTAGTCGGTCCCTTAGTCGCTCCGGTAGAGACCGGCCTAAGTACTCTACCATTTCAAACCTACCATCACCGCAACCCTTCAAAATGGGTAAGAAAGAGTAAGAGCCAAGAAATGGTTGACGTCCTTTCTGTAAACTACCAGTACTGGTAGTAGGATTTAAGGATACCGGTTTTGTTTGTCGTCATGGAATCATGGAATATGCAAAATGCAAATTCTCAAGAAGACGCGGAGTACTAGTACAATACGAGTACGGTACCGGTTCAGTGGTCAGTAAGTTCACGTACCGTACCAGCACCTGGTACCTGGTACCTACATCTAGAGAATCTCGGTTTTCTACCGGTGCATGTAGCTCATCCTATCAAACCTCTTCTCAGTTGGTTGCTGCAACTCTACCAGCTAGAGCCCAGAGAAACCAGTGCAAGCAACCACAGTGGAACACTAGGAAGAGCAGATGCATCCTACGACTGCCTGTGCCGCAATTCTGTCCACGATCAACCAGGAGCCCTCCCTTAGATCCGAAGCCTGCGCGAATTGCATTAGCGTCGATAGTGCTGAAAAAGATGTCATTAAGCGAAGGAAACCAAGCAACAAAGACGACAACAATGATCAACCATACGACGTATCAGGGTCCCACGATGCATTCTCCGAGAGCTCTGCGCCTGTTTTGACAACATTCCCGACACGCAGCAGCATGTCCTTGCGAGCACGTTCGACTGACAGCATCAAATCCTTTCGACCACCCACTCGAGACTTACCTGCATCGTTTCGCAAGTACCGGTATGCTACAGTACATGTTGTACCAGTACACCAGTACCACCACCCGCGAATGGTCTGACTGTATGTAGACTACTATTAGCAGTCGCGGCAGAAGGCAGTTCACATTTACTGTTTTCACGGTACCGGTGCTGTTCCTCATTTTGGTACGTTGTGTCGTTGTGTCTTGTATAAACATGCACATGTATGTGGTCGCATTATTGTCTTGGTACGTACTGGTAGCTACTTATGCATACATGTAGTACAGGTACCGGTACCAGGTACCTTGTAGCCCCCATGCTCCCGACACGTACGCCTTCTCGATTCTTGAGCGACAGTCGTGTGACAGTCGTTTCGTAAGGCGTACCTTAAGGTACGGAGGTACCGGTACGGTAAGTTGTACCATAGGTATACGGTAGTGCTTCTGGTACCATTTCCGTAGTAGTACCACCACCTTGAGTCTTGTAAACGTGGTCGCGTTTTTGCTTTATTCCATATTCCCAATCCATGAGTAATTATTACCACCGACTAACGCATAACTAGCTAGCTAGCTAGGACAGTTCTTGGCCAATAAAATTTAAAGCAGAGTTGTACCGGTAGTCTCTGTTTTATTATTATTATTCCTCTACTGAGTATTTATTACAATGTCATGTAGTAGTGAGTTCTAGTTTGCATCTCATGATGTCATGGTACGACAGCCCTCTAAGTCTTCTTAGAAAATAGCACATTTAATCGATGGTTTAGAGTTCAGGTTGTCCGGTGAAGGTGCCCAAGAACACCCTTGCTAAGATGACACCTATCTCAGTCAAAACTCCTCCTCGCGACACCACTCAGGCGGGGTCAGCAACTACATAGTTATCTACAGCTGAACCTGCCCTTGCCGTGTCGCAGGGGTACTCAAGTAGTGGCATACTAGTAACATTTCCGTAGTACTACCGTAGTAGTACCACCACCTTGAGTCGAGTCTTGTAAACGTGGTCGCGTTTTTGCCTTACTATTAATACAGTACCGGTAGGTAATACCTGGTACATGTAGTTTATTCCCAATCCATCAGTAATTATTACCACCGTATACCGCGCCGATACTAGCTACTAGCTACCCGGGTAGCTAGTTAGTAGCTAGTACCATAGTACTTGGCCAATAAAATTTAAAGCAGAGTTGCACGGTATGTTGTAGCCAGTTCTACGGTAGTACTATTGAGTTCGAGTAGACTAACACAAGTACCAGGTACGTAATAGACTTCTACTCCAGACTCTAGCTTGTCTGGAAAATTTTTTAAGCTAGTACTATAAAGGTTGAGCCCCCGTAGGGGGCTCTGAACCATAAAGATTGGGCCCCTTGGGGCCCAACCACCAAGCTAGCTAGCTAGTGGGAGTGGAATACATGGTCTTCTGGCTTGCCCTCAAAGCACTGCAGCAGAGCCTCCTGCTTTGTCTTTGGGATGGACCATCCCAGGACCCTGGCCCAACCCTTCATGTCTGCGAAGCTTGTGTGTGGGTCCAACAGCTTGGCTTTGGTCAGACCACCTTGCTTTGGAGCAGCCTTTCTCTTGCCAGCGGCATGTTCATTGATCCTGGCCATCTGAACAAGCTGACCCTTGTCTCTGAGCAAAGCTTTGGCATGCTGGGGCCTCAGCCTACCCCTGAGACCAGCGTTGCCCTGCCGCATCATGTTGAAGTGCATTCGATCGAATGATTCAGCAGCCTTGCAAAGGCTCTCACAACAGGAGATGTGACTCCATGGACTGCTCCCTGTGGGAAATGGCGCTGCAGATATTGATCCAATTTCCCCGCCACTAGAGGAGTCCTAGCTTTCACAGAGGCACGTCCTATCTTGCCAACAGCCGCCAAGAACACCATGCCGTTGTCGTCCACCTTGGGGACCAAGAACACCATGCCGTTGTCGTCCACCTTGGGGAACCATCCACTGGAGTACAGGTTCCGGATGTAGTGGTCGATACCAGCCGGCGCCTCTTTCGTACTCGCACTCATCGTCTTCGGAGGATTGCGATGAAAGCGGCTATGTCCTCGGCTGCGGTGAGTACCTCTGCGGCTACTGAATCTGCGGCTACTGAATGCGGTAAGTACACCTCTGCGAACTACCTCTGCGGCTACTGAATACGGAAGGGATGACCTCGGTTTTATTGTCTTGCTTCACTATCTCGCTCAAATTCGAAATCCTCTGCGAAATCCTCTGGCGAAATCCTCTGGCGAAATCCTCTGGATGCATGCTCCGTCGGTCTTTCGAAAACAACATGAAAACAACACGACGAGAGACTGATCGAGCTGACACAGAGAAAGATGCGAATCGAATCGTGTGCACGACTAACGTCAGTCAGTCGAGTGACGTCATCGAAATCTAAAGATCCAACGATTCTGATTGGCTAATGGCTCTACAGGGGCTCTACAGCGGTAGTGTACGGTTGGGCCGATGTCGGTACAGCGGTCCCGCTGTACTTTCTGTACCAATCCTTTTATGTTCTGTGATGCGAACTACCGTGTCAGCTAGTAGATCTAATATCTAATCTATTGATCTATTTTATTAATAAGGTACACGTACATGTACTACTACTAGAAGTATGCCGTATGCCATACTACGGTTAGTACGACTAGCTAGTACTGAGGACGAGTAATTAGTGTGCAATCCAGCTGGACACTGCATGCATTATGTGAAATTTAATGGCCGGACCCCCGTAACGTTCAATTTTCAGCTTAAATGGCTTTTAAGTAATCGAAGTTTCCCTTGACTGCATTATGTTCGCCAGTGACCAGTGACCAGCAAGGTACTACTAGTAATACTGGTACTGCCAGGTCCATTCTACTGCCCGAAAGTTTAGTATGGCATACAAAGTACCAGTGACACCAACGACCATTACAATCGTACTCCGGATCCAGACCTGAGATGCAAGGACCTGGCTCATGCATCCTGCTGCTTGTTGTTCTTTGTTTCTTGTACAATACAATCGAATCTCACAAAATTTGGCAGACCAAAAAATCAAAGCAAACCCACAAACGAAAACCAAAAGCTGCCTTGATCACCATGGTTGGCATCACGTTCGAGTAAGTCCTGTTGGTTGTTGGTTGGTTTGTTGCTACCCTACCGGTAGCTCGACCATGGTGGTTGCAAGTGGACTTTCATGCTCTGGGTTTGTCTGGATTTCTCTCAATGACCGTTTGTCACTCATTTTCTTCTTCTTTGCTGGAAACAGTCGTCCCGTGGGACCGTACGCGGACACAAAGGAGCTCGAGTATGTCTCGGCTCTGCATCAGACCTGCGCCCCTCTCTTGCGTCAAGATGGCTCTATTGAAGGTACGGGGCCGTACAATCAGCACTTTCTTGTGATATCCCATTTGTCAGTGACAAGATAAATGACTCACAATGTCCTTCATTTTTTGATTGTCCATCAATCAGCCATTGACATCTTGCATTTTCTTCGCAGTCGTCATGGCGTCGAAGTGGAAGAAGATGTGGTGCGTCAAGCTATTATCATTGAACTCTGTGGATCCCCTGAGCTACAGGCTCGTTCCGAGGAAACGGCGGAAGACTCGAGTGACATGATCCTAAAGAAGGAGGCTGCCAAGGACGGCGATGAGGAAGAAGAGGAAGAGGATCCTGAACCCGCCATGGATATTTGCCAAATGCTGGCCTTGTTGTTGGTGCCGTTTCTTCGTAGTGGAAACTCGGATGGCACCAATCAGGAAGCTGTCTCTCGTGTCATTGAAATCGCCTTGGACACCATCTGGGCAGAGTTGCGCGCTCATGCGGTTGATGTACAGGGAAGTGACACGGACGAAGGAGTCCTTGTCACCCCGGAATTTCTGGGAGAGATTCTAGATTGCTTTGGAGAATTTAGCGTGTCCAAGGACGTACTGAATGAGATGGTTCAAGCTGCCTCTGGAGACGACAACCAGAACAACGAACCACAGTTCTATTTGACCAAAGCTAGCTTCTTGCAAGCTCTTACGGCGGATACCCAAATGTTTGATCCCAACTTGGACGAGACACTGAACACACACTTTGAAGAGGCTCAACTTGCTCATGAAAAGACAATTGCCAGTGGAGGGAAAACAATGCAAGACGAGTACGGGCCGGAGGAAGAGCCCGTCTTCAAAACCGTATATATGGCGGATAATGTCGACAGCACCGCAGACAGCTATCGCAGTACTCTTTGGTTCGTCCTTGCCTGGGTGTCGGCTGTATTTGTGTATGTGTGCTACATGACCAACACTGACATCAAGGCAACCAAAGAAGATTTCGCGGAATGGGGATGCGACAACCTCTTTGGATGCGATCTTGCGAGGGCCTTGTTGAATTGGTCGGGTGAGTTTTTCAAGAAAACTTTGGGGCGAGCGGTTTCTCCTGACGACGCAACTAACTTTTTTCTTGTATTTCATTTGGGAAGTCATCTTCATTGAACTGATGGTTCTTGGTTTGCTTTGGGTTTTTGTCACGACACTTGGTAACAGCACACACCCAACCAAAACCATTCCACAAAAGCTCTTCACTACCATTCGAATTTTGATTGCAATGACTCTCACCCTTGCTGGCACCGTCTTGACATTCTTCTATCCAATTGACCTTGGATTTATCAATTCCGTCACAATTATCAATTCGGATTCGGATGACAGCGGCAACGCATTCTACGTGGCCGCTTATTACATTTGTCTCATCTTGGGCTTCATGATGCTGCTGTGCCAACTTTTCCGCGTCTTGAGCATGTATTTGTCTATTGGGCCGTTCACAAAGGGCAGTCGAGAATACAAAGAACGAAGGACAAAGAGAGCGTCCACTGCAAAGATTACGAAGCTTGTAGAGCACGCCACTTTGTTGCACGTGTCGCCGGATGACGAAAGAAAGAGCTTTGCCAGTGCAAGTTCCGTGTTCAAATCGACTGTTTCAGAAGCCGTAAAAGACGTGTCAAAGAAGCTTCACGAGAGCGTCAAGAGCCCCCGCCAGAGCAAGCTCAGTGCTGGAAGTGCCACATCCAAGGTGCTGCTGAACTTCAGTAATATGGAACATACGAAAGAAGAGACTGGTGGCGTTTTGTGGACGTTCAAAAAGATTTTTGTAAGTTCCTTCCTTTTTGTGAGGGGAGATGAAGGAATGAAAGAAATTTTGTCGCTCATGTCTAGTGCTTCCAACAATCCAGGATGGATCTCTTTTCAATGAAGAGGGTATCTACCTTCACGGCAGGCTCCTTGCTGTTAATTTTGCTCAATTCCTTGTGGTTGGCATCTTGTGTGGTGCATTTGCCCTTGTCTACGTTATTTTGGATTACTTTCTCGCCAGGGGGGACGATGGTTGTGACTTCAGGATTCCTGGTCTTATTGTCGAGGAAGGTACTTTATCCAATGTCACCAGTGACGTAGATACCCTAGAAGGCGAGCTCATCAGGCGCTTGCAGCAGTCAAATATTTTTGAAGCGAACAGCACCTACAACGAGACGGAAGACTTCGATGGACTGGCAGAACTCTTTCAGGGTTTGGAGAATGCCACCTTCAACAACGAAACGTTGGCCTCTGCGATTGAGTTTATTGAGGGGGTGGTTAATTACGTTAGAGAGAACGCAGGGGAGTTGGCTGGTTTCCCCACATGGACCATGGACGACTGGAACATCAATGAAACGCACTTCTTTGATGGCTTTCACTTGTTCGAAGGTCAATTTCCCAACTGGACCCAGGAAATTGAAGAATGGGATGGACGGTACCCTGTGATCTGCTACGATCTGTATTCCGCAAACTTCACGGAAGTTTGGATCAACTATGAAGCAACACGCAACGAGCTACTTGAGCAGCTTCAAATTGAGAATTGGGAGTGAGTTGGTTCTGCTGGATTGCCGTTGGCCATGGTTACTGTTTTTACTTACGCAATGTTTTGATGAATGCAGATACCGCCTTGCGGCCTCTATTGGATTGTTATTCGCCATCTTTGCGGCCGTGACCATTGCTATGGTTTACGTCCCCTCTTTTGTCTCGTCGGCGCTCAAGTTTCGTTCAGGTTACGACCAGAGCTTGAAAGGAAACCAGGTCACATTTTTGGGCTATCGCAAAAGTCCAGATCAGGTAAGCTTTTTAAAATTAACGGTTGCATGTCACGACCATGGTGGTGCATGAATTCCTGACATGTAGCGTACATTGCCCCGTTTTCCAAAGTGTTCCATTCTCTACGGTTCAGCCTTTTGGGGCATTTTCTTTTCTTCTGGTCTAGCCTTTCTCATCTTTGGGGCCCTCACATTCATCCTGGTCTGGCCGGTATGTCTTGTGGTATATCGTTTTGCTCTACTCTACTCCAAACAACTCTCACAATTCACTTTTCTCACTATTCGGACAGCTCACTCATGTATGTGATGACGGTACTCGTCGCGCGAGGTGCTCATTGAGTGAATCAATCTAACGTCTATGTATTTCCTTTTGTTTGTGTGCATAGGAATGGGTCAAGACAATAATCGCCAATTTCATAGGCATTGGCGCTACCATTACCCTCAAGGTCATTTTTATGATGTGTGTACGCAAAAGTATCTTCGCCGGTGGCTTTTATCGGAAGAAACCAGCTACTGCTGCCATCACGAACGTATTCCTTGAAGCCTGGAGTCTCGGAACATCGATTGGTACTGTCACCACGCGAGCTATAACACTCATATGGTAAGAGGTTTTGTGGTATATAGAATTGCACGAACAGACTAGCACGAACAGACCAGACTGACCCCCATAACCTGCATCAGCGTCACAATTTTCTTCATTGGTCGCATTGATACCCCCTTGCTCGCGGACGGGATTGGGTATGTGAAAGGAACTCCCGTAGACAAGCCCCCCATTGCGTTTAAGAAGGATCTGTTGATTCATGAAGCGGTAAGCCATTCGTGCAGCATCTTGGAGGCGTTCCCACATTTCTTGGATGCTGATCCACTTGCACATTCCTTTTTTGAACAAAGCATCGCCACCCATACATGGAACGGCTGGGTTTGTTGTACTTGTTGAAATTGCACGGGGGCAAGTCTTTTGGAACTAGGGCAGGTGCCTATTGGCGCTTGTTATTCACGTTAGCGCTGCTCCCTTGGATGCGAAAGTATCGTGTTTCCAGGGGCGTTCCCATCTCTGACAAAGATGACATGGACGATCAGCTGAGTACAATCGGAGAAGCTACTGACGACAACGAGAAGCAAGCGGCGCTGTCGCACCCTGTGTCGGGTGGCGACCCTTTTGCGTGGGACGAAACAGACAACATCGAGACTCTGGCGGCAAAGCGCAGGCAGCTCAAGATCAAGCTCAAGGCGTTGAATGCAACCTTGAGCGAAAAACTTAAGGATTCCTCATCTTTTCGCGCTGGCGCTTTGGACCAGGCCAGATTGATGGAATCACAGCGACTGGATGACCGACCGCACCATCTCGACAGCTCTGAAGCCTAACTTCTTTCTCTGCCGTGATCTACAAACAAGCAACAAAAGATGAGTCAATGGCCGCCAAAACCCAGAAACAAAACCACAGACTTCTATCCCAACCAAAGACGAACAAAAAGGTCTCCCTTGTATGAGGAGCCACAGGTCGTGATCCAGCATTGAGACCTGCCGGCACAATCATTTCTTTGTTCTTCATGTTTACGCTTCAGTCTTCCGTTACTCTAAATAAATACAATGTATTAGCGTCATTGAAAGTTTGTAACCCTTCAGGATTTTCGGTAGTCCGGTATCCCGACAGACAAAAAAGCTTTTTGAGGCACAACCACTATGTGTACCGGGAGCTAGTAGTCTGGAATTCCTGTTCATGAATTAATCCGCCTGCTCTAAACCCCCGTTGGTCACTCTGGCAGGTTTGTCTTGGCTAAGTGCAAAGAGCTACTGGTAGTCTCGTAGCAAGATCCATCGTCCAAAGCTCAATCTTTAGGTTGCTTTGGTTCGAGAAATGAGCAACGAGAACGAGCAACGGCGCTGTTGTACGATAGCGCTTCCTGCCATTACATTGCTGGTTTCGCCCGTGGGAGTGGGGTTGGAGGGCGCCCAGGATGGACGCAGTCGTGTGACTCAGCATCGATGGACGTCACTCTGATGACGCTCTGACGTCGTCTGACAGGGGCCACTTTTTTTTAACCTTTGCCTCACTTTTTGCATTGGTTTGGGTCTCCCTCCAGAGGACAAGGACAATGATGATGACGACAACCATGCGTTTGCTTCTTCTGTTATTGATCGGCCGAAGCAACGCCTTCGTTGTAATTAAGCCCTTCGCTGTTACCGCCGGGTTGGGGAGCGTTAGAGAATATCTGGAAGCTCCAGGTTATGTGAACGTGGATTCTTTGGAGATGGCCAACAGTGAGGTGAATGGCAAATCAACAACCTCGAGCAGAAGCAAGGCGTTAGCCTTCGTAGACGAGACAGAATCGACAAACTCGGCAGCAACCACAACAATCAGCCCCAAACGTGCACTTCTCATGGAAAGTCCAATCATATTGGAACGGGAGTCGCTCGATGTAGAGGACAGACCTTCGATCGAGACAGGACTTCGGTACAGTTCAGATGACTGGTGGACTTGCTTCTGGCGGATCCGAAAGTCGTATGTTCTTCGGCGCATCAAGAACCGCTTGATGACGACAACTTTTACTAGCATCATTGCAGCAACTCTGTATCACTTTTACAAGCCTTGCATTCCCATGCTGGGTCATAGCTTGATGGGTGGCTTTCTCAGTTTGCTGCTTGTATTTCGCACAAACGGGGCTTATGCCCGCTTTTGGGAAGGCCGTACGCAATGGAGTCTGGCCATGAAAACCTGTCGAGCTCTGGCTCTTCATGCAGTGGCACATGTCAGGCCCCACAGTCCTCAGAGTGCGAAAAAGCTGCTGCAACTGATTGCGCTCTACCCGATGCATTGGCGTACACTTGTCTAGCAGGGACGCATCCTTTGGCCCATAATGTGAAGAAAGTCACTTTACCACGAACGAAAAAGGCCAATGTACCGCCAGCAACCGTTGTGGCATTGATGATACAGGAAGCACTCAGAGAAGCCGAACTAGAATCAAGTACGGTTTCCACCAGCCTGCTGGAGTCCATGCATCTCGCTCATCTCAGCCACGATGCCAATGTGCTGACAAGAATTTATTCCGCTTGTGAAAAGATTGTAAAGACACCAATACCATGGTCCTACTCTCGTCACACAAGTCGCTTTCTCACAATCTGGACTACAACACTGCCCTTCGCCATGGTGCAGACCATGGGTTGGCTAACTATCCCGGCCACAGCGGTGCTCTGCTGGGCGCTCTATGGCATGGAGGAGATTGGACACCTTATAGAACAACCGTTTGTGGGTACTCGAAGCACTGACAGAGACTTGAAGACCAAACCCTACGACATTGGCCTTCCCGTTTTTACACTCGCAAATCAGATCAGATATGAGGTGGAGCAAGTCTCGAGGATATCTGAACCCTTAGACCCAGGGTTTGCTCATTGAGAAAAGAAAGAGGAGTGTTTCGGCTATCACTGGTTTACTTCAGTTTTAGTGCTAATGTATGTGTGAAATTACGTTCTCTTTTGTTTGTTGTTGTTTGTGAAAGAAGTCTAATTGATACATGTTATAGGCCAGTATTTTTGATAGCGGCTTTGATCTTATGATTGAGGAGTTCAGGTTGAGTACAAGTGTTCCTGTTATGTTGTGTTACTGTGTACAGCTACATGTATCCCATACCAACCCAGTATGAAACAGAAGGCTGCCTATGGGAATACAACCTTGCTAGAAACTCTACAACCTCAAAATACCGTGGCAGGGCAACCCCCTGTCCACAGTCAAAACGTTCGGGACAAATGACTGCATTCTATGTAATCAAGAACGGCTTCACATCTTCAAACGTATGAGAAACAAACCTTCTACACTTCTCAACAGATGTGAAGAACTATTTTTAAAATACATGCCGTCACAAACCACGGTTCCACCGGTTCACCCATGCAACCCCAGTGAGCAGTACTGATGAGCCCTCAATGGGCGAAAAAGTGCCAACAACCATTGATGTTTAACACCAATGGTGTGTGTGAATGCAATCGATATAATCCATAGAAATAGTACCACAGAGTCAACCCATCAAGCCACAGTTCTGTTGCCTCGTGCCACTCGGCACCAGAACTCCAGCCTGAAGGCTTGTCTCTGTCAATCCCAGTAAATTATATTTAGAATACTCACTTTTTGCTGCAATTGATAAATTACTGTGTACAGCTACATGTATCCCATACCAACCCAGTATGAAACAGAAGGCTGCCTATGGGAATACAACCTAGCTAGATAGCCTGCATTTTATGATTTATGTAAGCCACAAATGTAAAAGGCACCTCTATTATCAAATGCAGCAAAAAGTGAGAGTGCTATTTTGCTGGGTTTGACAGAGACAAGCCTCCAGGCTAGACTTCACATATACTTCGCGTAGTTCACGATGAAGGATACGAAACCACAATACGCAAACCATTTGTTTATTTGTTGCGTCTGTTGTTACGCACGGGCGGCAGATGCAGTTTCTTGCACAGCTGTATAGCTTCAAGGCTCGCTCGGATTGGTCTCCTCAGGTGGACCTTCGGATCTATCTTCTGGCGATTGTTCCCCGTCTTCTTCGGCATCATCGTCGTCGCGACGACGTTTGTACCAGACCAAGGCTACCAACGCAATGCCGGCTGCAAACAGCGGCAAAATTGACCAAACCAAGACAGGACCGGAGACGGGCAACTCATTGTCAGGGTCGACGTCGACGTGTATCGTAATTGTTGTTTTGTTGCTCGCTTCATCGTTGATCGTACTCTCTTTTTCGTCGAAGTCCTTGCAGGCCATGAACGGGTGGGCGCTACAACACGCTCGCTCCTTGTACGGTTTGGACACGGACTCGAGAGCAGTGTTTGCGAAAACGCTCATCTGGTAGTCCTCCACTGTACGGGTGCCGGCACACGATGAATTCATTGGGCGGTCAAAAAAAGTAGCGTTGCTGCTCGTGACATTATTGCAGCCACAGGAAGTTCCTGGATCCACGCGTGATAGAGACATAAGTGCACAGCGATCCAAGTTGTCCAGCATAGAAGGGCATAGTGGGCGAGTATCGGTGCCGGGAAAGCCGGGAAAAGCATCTAAGAGTCATGTTTCCTTCCTCCTTTGAAGCAGCTCGGAGATCATCCAAAGAAACCTCAATCCCCACGACTCCGATCAGTTGGTTGTCCGGGCCGAAGACAGGAGCTGTTATGGATATTCCGACTGCTGCGGCGCTGGCTGCGAACAGATACGGTTCAGCCCACGCCGTAAAATTGGAACTGGATCTTGGCTGGAGCCCCCACTCGACGAGAGCGTCGTAGCCTGCGAGCGACTCATGAACACGTGTGTGCGTGTTTAAAGAAGCCCAAGAAGCTCGAGCGCTGGAGCAAGCCAACGTCTTCGGGAAGGAAACTGTGCGGTCGTCATCATCGCCAGTGACACCGTCCACAACGCTGTAAATTAGAGTAAAGACCGGCTGTTGCAGCATGTTTTCCGCTCGCGAGAGTCCATGGTTGATAAAGTCGATGACATCTTGTTCTGTCTTCCCTGGTGGATCGGTCATGGATCCGTCGGTGAAGAACAGAATGACGGTGAAGCAGGATTCTTCTGCCATGTTGTGCACCATGCCGTACTCTAGAATCTCGAACGTCTTCTCAAAGGCGGCCATCATATTCGTGGAGCCGCCCGCTTCCATTGTCAGTAGTTGGTCGACGAGTTGAAGAAGGTGGCGTTTGGTGGTTCTGGTGATAGGAACCAAGACGGCTTCTTCTACGGTGATTTCATATGCCGCTGTGGAGAAGGGTACAATAGCCAGCCGATCGACTCCATCATTGAGAGTGTCGATGACGTGCCGCACAGGCCCTCGGAGGTGTTCGAGTCGCTGGTTCATTGACCTGGACGTATCAAGCAAAATCACCACCGTCTTGCCACTAGCAGGAGCTCGGGTGGCCAGTTGATACCATGGTTCTTGTCGTGGATCCCAGGCGGAAGAACTGTCGTCGCAGAATGGGAGAGTTCGAGCTGGATAGATTCTCAGCAGGCCAGTGGCCGCACCGGCAAAGAACATGGACCGAGGGGAAGAAGCGCTGTCGGCGGCTTTCTCGACAAAGTATTCCTCGAGTCGATGCGAAATGCAAATGTCCTCGACCAACAAAGGATCCATGGTCGTTCCATTGTCGTAGAAGTTTGTGGGAGAGAAGGAGGGGACGTAAATGGAAGTCACGGTTGGATCCGCAACCATCCCATGACAAGAGGCGTTGTTTTTGTCTGCTGCTGTTGTGCCGTTTTCGAAGCGACCGCACACATTGTCGCCGTGTTTGTGTTCACTGTCGCATCTTGGATTGGGAAAAGAAGACCTGCAAGCATCGTAGTTGCTCTGTTGGCAGCTTTGTAGAAGCTTTGCTGGATCACACTTGTACGACGCATACACTCTCTGCGCCTCGAAGCGCAGATCTAGAACATCGGCCTCGAACCTTTCCTTTACCTCTCGAAGGGATCGGTCTGGAGTTTGAATCCCTGTAATGCCAGAGGCGATCAAAGACAGGAAAATCACGAAGACAAAGGTGATGCTCATCTTGTCAAGGAGACCTCGTCGGTTTGTGGTGACGGTTTTGTGGTGTGTGCATGCAGGTCCTCTTCGGCACGAGTTGAAAGGTTCCCTTTTGGTAGATATAAGCCGGTTGAGCTGCAATTCAATTTTGACCTTTCAAGGAGAAGGCTTCAAGGACACCTGATCTCCTCTGTCGGTGTGGCCTTGTTGCCGCCGATGACTCCTACACGAGTATAAACTATCGTTTCGACACTGCATATTCAGGTGTATTTGGTTGTACCAATAGTCCTGTGAACTGCCCATGCCAACCAGATTGCGGACAGCCGAGGCGGTGGCTGGGAGTCGAGGAAGACTCCTGGAGGCAAGTTAGTTAACCAACCAACACCGTGGATGAAAAAGCCAAGACGAAGCGATAGACCGAAGCAATTCAAAACGAAGCAATCATCGCAAAGTGCAAAAGCGTGGGATGAAACTGAACAGCTAACCCACCGCAGTCACTTGAGAGCTATTTGCAGTGCTGAAACAAACTTTGCGAAGTCTTCTTCTAAAGGGAGCCACTTGAAAGATGCAACCATGAAACGCACTTCCTTGAAGGGTCAAGGCGATGTATATGTTGTCGCAGTGCAAAGCAGAATTTCAGGGCAATCTACATACAATATTATACTGCGCCCTTTTAGCTACCGGTATGGTTCCTGGCTAGGCTATGACGGCATTGGCACTCTGACTTTCGACCTTTTCAGTCTTTCCTCGGACGAACAGCGACGAAGAAGGGGGCACGTGTCTTGACGTTGACGAGACTCGAGAAAGCTTGGTCTTTTCCACCCTTGCGAAACGCCGACTGCCTCGACTTCCAATCAAAAACTCTGCAAAAAGCAACAACGCATAGAGCAAACCAAGGATCGTCAGCGACATTGTTGGCGTAGTCGTAGGGTGATATCCAAGGTAACGTGCAATGATCTTGTTGTCGCTGAGTATACATGTTACTGCCGTTCTGCAATGATCCCCTCCCAAATGGTCGCCGTATTGCAACTGGTTGAGGAGAGCCCCAGCTACAGCCCAAAATGTGAATGACGTTATGTACAAAAACTCGAAGCCCGAAGGGAACTTGTTGATTGGTACGACTGTGCCGCTGAACATCAGATTGATCATGAGGTACAAAGAGAAAAACTTGATGTATTTGATGTGGCTCCCGTCAAACCAAAGACTCAGAACGCGCCCCCCTTGCAGGGATATCGACAAATACATCGAGGCAAAGATGATATGCCCTAGAAACGTTGCAAAGCTCCAGCCCAGGAGAGCGTAAACAATCACAAGAGATGGTACCAGCGACAGGAGAGCTGGTGAAAACTGATACAGCTTCGACGCAATCATGTAAGAGAGGTAGGAAATACGGCCATCAAGGATTTCAGATCGATGCATACGCCATATTTCGCAGGCTTGTGAGATCTTGTATTGAAACACGTTGTAGCTGAGAGATGCAGGAAAGGGTGAGCAATTGTAATGACGAAACACCTCGCACTGGTCAAGTCATTTTGCAGTACTCACCAAGCAGCAAGGCAGAAGATCGTGGCGAACAGCGTCTGGTTTAGAGATTGGTCATCCCAGGATAGGATGATTGTGAGAACGAAAACTGTGAACGGCAAGCGCCCGAAATCGTTCCATGCCCAGCCGTATTCTTTGCGGAGCCTTTCTGTGAGTGTCAGGATTGCTGTCACCAACCCTTGCCCCTGGGAGGTGGTAGCAGCATTGGGCAAAACATCGCATGTGTCATCAATCAAGCCGACTTCTTGTCCAAGTCGGAACGAGGCTCTATTTTCAAGCAGAGTATGAATGTCGTCTGCAAGCGTGGCTTCGGGAGTTCGCCACAATTTGGAAGTGAGGGTGTTGACAACAAGATGTCCATTTTCAACCACGATCAATTTCTCAAAGCTCTGAGCAATCTCATTGGAGGGGGCATGACATGTCATGACAACGCTGCAGCCATGTGAATGAACTGTTTCAATGATGAACCGCAGGAACTCTTGAGACGAAACCGAATCTAAACCTCTGCCAATTCAAGTGACACCAAGAATGAAGGAAGTGAGAGTTTCACCGATTGGATCACTTGCTTGATGGTTCAATGTTTGGTTTCGTGCTTACGTTAGGGGCTCGTCAAGTACAACCAAGGCTGGAGTCATAAGCAGGGCGGAACAGACAGCAATGCGTTTTCTTTGGCCGCCACTTAGATGACCAACCAACTGGTCCTGAAAAGAAGCAATCTTGCTTTTCACTTCCTTGAGGCGCGAAGCTGATGCACCGTACAACAGCGCATTGTTGTCGAGGAATTCGCTAGCCAGCATTCTATTGAATAGGGAACAGTTGTCCTCTTGACGGACGTAGCAAACCTTCCCAAAATCAAAATTTGAATCATCGACGGATACATTCAAATTTGGCTCAGTTTGGCCTACCATGGCTCTCAAAAGCGTTGTTTTGCTGGAGAAGAAACCTCAGCATGAGTTGTGTCCTGAGCAACTGTTGTGGGGTTGAAACACACTTGCAATGCACTTACCCAGCCCCCGATTTTCCGCATATTGCTGTAATGGCTCCATGTGGAATAGAAAATGACACATTTGAAAGAATATAGTTGTCTTTTTTGGAATCGTAAACATTGAGATTTCTCATTGCAAGGGTTACCCGTTCCTTGTTGGCATCCTCAGTGTCCATCTTTGGCTTTCGAACAAAAGCATATGGTTTGAAACGCATGAAGAAGCCAATAAGAGATGCAACCCAAACAAGTCCGGCAATGACCCACTTCAAGGAGCGTGGCAGAGGGACGAAGGTGTCTTCGAGCTCCAAGAATTGTTGACATGGCGAAAGGCTCATGTTCGATTTATCAGAAACGCAGTTGGGTCCATTGCAGTCGTCGCCAAAGGTAACCAGTAGCTCTTGACTGGGTGGTGGATTCTTATCCATGACAAAATCTTGTATGAGCGATTGAATCGACTCTCCAATGACACATTTTGTGGTCCAAACCTCCGGATCATTCCAAATGATCAGATTCTGGCCCTGATATATGTCTGCCACGCTACCAACAGTTGTTCCGTTTCTACATGCTTTGTCGACAGCATCGCAGTCCACAACCTGCACATCAAAGTTGGCAGGTACCAAGAATGGGTGCATGACACATGATGTGGTCAGCCAGCCCATCGTGTTTGTCGCATTTTCAGGTCGTGGGCGCCCATTGAGGAGACTGGCAGTCTCTGCGATTCGCTGCGCCCTTTCTCCGCTCACAAAGTAGGTTTTTTGCATGGCTTGTAGATAGACGCTAAGCGAGGATCCATCTGGAGGCTGAATCATCTTGGAAAACTCGTAGGGGTCGTATTGGCTGTTGATCAGCATCATTCTTTCTCCCCTGGTTTCGGTGCTCCATTGCGCAATGATTGGATCAGTTCGAAGGATACAGTGTGTTGACAAACAGCAAGGTGTTCCGTCGGGCTCTGTTTCGAAGCACATGGGATGAACTTGGGGGTCAACGTATGCTTTCAAGTACTCGCTTATTGTAGAGCTGTTGTGGTTGATGTCGTCGAGCAAGTCTTTTCCATTCAAAGGTGATGAATCCAGAATGATGCTCATTTCTTTGACGTTAGCAAGCTGAGCTGTGTCCCTGATCTCCTCCAAATGGTTGAGTACTCCCAGTGCCCCCGCGCTGCTGCCCACGACAAGAAGCTTCTCAATGGTTGGAATATCTTGCTTCTGGCGTGACCAATACTGCAGTGCGTGCATCAAGTTTACAGATCCAGCCTTGTAGATGCCGTTAGAGTCCTGGGTACCAGATCCCAAGTATGCATCTTGACTGCAGTACGGAACCATCCAAAAAGTATAGTTGTGCGTCACTGGATTCAGCACAGGGTTGTTGGAAAGAATGCTCAGCCCATTCACTGAAGGGGGCCATGGTTTGCTGGAGAGCTTATACGGCAATTCTTGCATCACTTTCTGGCAGTCTGCTTCAGTGTAGCAAACACTTCCTTTCATAACGAAGAAGACATGTTTGGAGGGGTCTCGCCCGGGAGCATGTTGGTTGGAGTAGATAGCCGCTGGGCTGCCATCTCCACATTTCGAACCCAGATGATGCATTAGGAGTGAGTCGTCTCGGTTGCTGCTTCGGTTTGCTGCCGGTGATGATTGTATTGGGGCTCGGACGCGAGTTGCTAGTCTCTTTCTCCCCATGCCGTGCCGTGGGCGTTTCCAATAGAAAGCACCATGGACACAAGCAAAGCTAACACATTGGAGGTCTTCATATTTTAAGCTGTCGGTCGTTTTTATGGCAAGGGATGGCACAAATTCTGGGTCACAAGTCACGGTTGGCTAAGCTTACCAGGTACCGGTACAGCTGTACTAGTAATCGAGTACCGGTACCCAGGTTACCGTACTGGTACACGTACCGGTACGGCACCCGTGAAGGTAAAACATTCGATACGGACAGTGCATGCACGCATGCACGCATTCCGGTTGGTGCCCGTTACCAGTCAGTGTTCTACACTCTTACCTCATCAATAAGATATCTAGACTCTTAGTTCAGTACTGGAGGTATGATGTATCTTTTTTTTATAAAAGGATTCAGCCACACTGAGTTATAATCTTACAAGTGGCCCAATCCCAGCATCTTTGTATCTTATTGCCACTCTATTAGCTATTGTCACATACCCTTTTACTAGCCATGCCCTCAGACAGTGAGGAGCCACCACCAGAGCCCAAGAAGGCAAAGGTGCAAATCCAAAATTGATGAAACCAAAGATGTTGTGGTAGACAAGGCACCCCAAGATGCGGATTTGGAGTGCTTGGATGTAGGTCGTGAAGTGGAAGATAGTGGGTACACTGTGTACTAGCTGCGTTCAGTCCCCATATAGTATTAGTATTAGCGTAAGATTTGAGACCTCAGTACTCCTAGCTTATCTTCCTGGTTTGGGAAATCTGAGTGTCAGGGTTATTTCAAAAGGCAAGCTGAGAATCGCATTCCTCTGCAAATGTGGTTTCACTTCTCTCAAACACTGCTCCCGAACAATTCTCCTGAACACTTCCCCCGAACACTTTTAGTGTTGTATTAGTATTCCCTCTGAATTATCAGTGGACAGTCTTTCAGTATTTTGCAGAGAATTTTCGTTGACGATTTTTGTACCTGAGCACCGCACCGCACTGTACGAATTGAAAGCTTCAGAGATCCAGCATTCAAGGCATGCGATATCAAAAGGCAAGCTGAGAATCGCATTCCTCTGCAAATTTGATTTCACTTCTCTCAAACACTGCTCCGGAACACTTCTCCTGAACACTTCCCCCGAACACTTTTAGTGTTGTATTAGTATTACTTCAGAATTTTCAGTGGACAGTCTTTTAGTATTTTGCAGAGAATTTTCGTTGATGATTTTTGCACCTGCGCACTGCACCGCACCGTACCGTACTGCACCGTACCGCACCGCACCGTACGAATTAAAAGCTTCTGCAATACACGGCTCTTAGCCTTATTCGCGACTCGATCCTAGATAGGGTTTGAGTTCGACTCATGACGTAGTCCTTCGCGAATAGTCATTGGAGACAGGGTTCTCAATGACCGCTCTAGTCATACTAGGTTGATGATGAAACATCACTCTAGATATTTAGCCAGCGTGGAGTACTTCCGCGCTACTAGATAAATGCTAGGCGAATATTCCACGCGTTCCGTTTTTGGATCGTGGAGTGAGTAGGATTGCTACCGCAACCTACTCTATCACACTCTACAGTCTCCCGCGGAAGTTCAGATCTACGATCCTTTGATTGTGGATCTCTCTCGTTGATTAGTTTTCATAGCTTTCTAATCCTCTCATAACTTTCATTCTCTCAAACTCAAAACACTCGAAAGATCTTTACACTAGCTTTTAGCGTAGTGCATTTTGTTAACAAACACAATAGCTTTCAGCTACCCTCAACCTATTCCTCACCATGAAGATTGCCAAAGACGCTTACACCAGCTTCGAGTCTAAGCTGCGCGACAAACCAATCCTTCCTCTCATCGACCTCGACGATGAATGCGAAATCGACGATTCAGGGTGTAAATTACTCGTTAGTTTAGCAAACTATGGCCACGGAGTGGCTTTTATGACGCGGGCAAGTGGTGGGGAAGCCCCCACCTAGCTGAGTCGTCATCTACTTATTTGCCCAATCAACATGACCTCATCCACTGGCCCAACGTGGAGCCAGCACCAAGTAGACAGATGCCCTGGGTAGGGGGGGAGCACATTGATAGGGAACCTGCAGCGCAAAACCTGGGTTACAGGGGCTTACACAGGATTTTTGTCGGTATTGAAACCATTATCACCAAAGGGACCGTGAGGACCAGTTAGATTGCCAGACCAAAGAGTGCTCGCCAGTAAGTGTGTCTGGGTGATCAGGTCCCAAGCTGTGGCAAAGGCCTTGGCATGCAAGGCAAGATCCCAGCAGAGCCCGTAGGAGGTGGTACTCCTCAAGAGCTGGACCAGAGCAGGCTGTAACCCATCCAATGCACAAAAATTGTTAGATAGAGGCCAACAAGCAGGCAGAAGATGGGGTCAAATGACACAATGGCAGTGTGTGGTTCCCAGTAGGGAGGCACAGTGGCTGCTGGAGTGTTGTGGGGTGTTCGAGGGGTTGTTGAGTCAGTAGAAGGGGGATAGGGGGGCACTGGAGGTGGGCCGGTGCCAGGGGCAGGAAGGGAGATCCTGTGGGGTTGGTGCTTGGGCTTGTAGAAGTTGGATGTAGGCATGGGTCGATGGTGTTTAGGATAGAGGCTCTGTGTTCAACGGTGTGAGAACAAAAGGCATCCCTCCTGATAGGGGTAGGGT